GTCACCCATCCCGTGACCGACCCTTGTGGAAGTTGCTTAACGACTACGATCGCGGGCCGCGGCGCTTATCCACTACGCCACCGAGCAACTCGTTCATATTAATAATTTAATATTTTCATATATTATAAATTTAATTTCATATTAATAATTTGGTTTACAAACCATTTGAACTCGAATATTTTCAGTGATCAAAGCAAGACGATACAATATAGTTACATATAAATCTGTTATCTTATTTGTATGTTCATGATAAAGCCCCAGGTGTCTCCTACAAGGCTGGCACATATAAATAAAAGATCGTATTAGATACACCAAGCCGCGGCCCACTCTCAAAACATCCCGCCGTTCGAAAGGGTATAAAATGGATGCTTTCTTCCAGGCTCGCCCAATTTAAAAACGAATTCATGAATTAGAAATAAAATGGTCGTTCCGTTCGCTATTCGTGTTATTCAATTGGTTCCAAAAGTGGAATCGTCTTCCGATTTTGTATCGAAAATACTTTAATGTAAGAATTCGACGATCAAAATAAAATTCTGATCCTATTATCGAGTTTATCCAGGCATGTTATTTTTATTTTATTACGTTATTTTTGATATTACCAAGCTAAAGTTACTTTTGGAAATAGTCGACTATCAATTTGAATTGCAGTATTCCATTCACATTATGATAGAAATAAGTATATGGATTATACTTGGCTTGTACGTAATAATATCCCACAGACTCGAACACAATAGCACACGTAGGGCTGTTAACTAAGTAACAACTTACATGTACTTCAATCGTCAGAAGTGCAAAGACCATAGTACCAATATCAAGAAAACAGCAGGAATCTTTATTACAACGGTTATTGATAATTTTTTGAGGTGAAAAATTGTAAAATTTTCTTTACCAACATCGTGTGATCTGTTCAGCGTTTTGAAAAATTACGGTTGAAAAACATTTGTAAAATAAAATAATTAGAACAAATTAATCAAAATAAAATAATCAGAACAAAATTCTCAACTTTATCAAAAGTTTCAATATTTGTAACAATATTTCTTTCGTCTGTTTGGGTGTATGCCTGAACATTGATGAGAATACGCTCTGTAGTAGCGAAGAGTAACAAGTGCTTGAAAGATTCGTTAGTCCTGTTAGGTCCTGGGTAGCTCAGCAGTTAGAGCAGTCGCCCGGATTGCGAAAGGTCATGGGTTCGAGCTCCATCTCAGGGTGCCAGGGACCAAGTGGATTTTTTAAGCATTTTGTATAAATAATAATTTTCAGTACCTATAGCATTGTAAATGCAAAATTAATCAAAATAAAATATGTATTTGCTTCTTATATTCACGTGCACAGCTCATACCTACGGTTACCATTTTCCTCTCAATCTAGGAACATAGATCTGTAGGATCTGTAAGTCTGAAATATTTTATAAATTTTTCAAATACACGCGAAAAATCTTTTTGACATTCTTTTGTTTTATAAATAAACTCGTTAGTATCAACATTATCTGTTCGAGTACGCTGATAATATTTCTAATTGAGTTCATTTCACATCACATCGAGTTTTATTAGGCAGTGGTAGGTTCCCCAAAACCGTGTCTGTACATGCACTAGCATTTATCCGCGACTTCGGCTTCGACTTTGTGCGCAAATTTATAGCCTATGTCTACTGTATATGATGTATCTATGGCTAGAGATGTAGCTACAGGAGTTACGCGGACGCAGATCCGCGTAAAACGGTTCTTCAAATCTATGAGAAATCGTGCAAAATAAATATATCTTGTGCATTTAGTTATGTTTTTTCATATTCTTTATATATTCACTTGATTTAATCTTCAATAAAAGGTGTTTCGAATTTATCGAAGTATCTTCTGACTACCCTATCTCCTTCAGTGTGATCCCACAGCGCTTCGTTTAGTTGCTGTACCAGCTCTAGGGTAGAGGGACTGATTACCAGTTCATGTGTAAATCCGAAGAAAGAAGAGCGTTCCTCTTCTAAAACATTGGCCATCTAAAAATTATGTTCATTACAAGTCAAATCTATCATCTATTATTTAAGAAATCAATCACATAAAACACCATCGAACGCCCGTTTTTACTAATCTAGAACAAGGCTAGCTCAACCCGCTCCTGCATAAATTATTAAAGCGCAGAATAAAAATATTTTTGACTGTGGAATTAGCTTTATTTACCTGGGTACCAATAAGATATGCCGAAACAAAAATAATCAAAGCGTTTTATATATTTTTTTTTTTCATTGAATGAAATATGCAGTAGAGGGTAACTAGGAAACGCCTAATCTTACGAATCGCCTAAGCAGATTAGTTAAATTCCCAATAAACATATTTTTTTATCCTTTGACAAATTTTTGATCTGTCATATTCAGGGTTCGCTGATAAATACCAACGGATATATATCAATCGATATTTATAATATTTATTGTCAGTTTTAGTATCGAGTCTCAGCTGGAAAATTAACCATCCCGATGTGACGCTGACACGAACGGTAAGTTTCATCATCCTCGTGCCCTCTATCCCACGTTACGTGGGGTCGGCACAACATGTTTTCTTCTTCCATTCTTCTCTGTCAGACGTCAGCTCCACATCCACACCTTTCTTATTCATATCCTCTTTCACACAGTCGATCCATCTTTTCTTCGGTCTGCCTCTACTCGCATATCCATCCACATGCATACCCATCACTCTTTTCGTAACATGACTTTCGTCCCTTCTCATAACATGTTTTCTTAAAATTTCTAATTATCAAATAATCTAACAAGGATTATTATAGTAAGTAGGTAATAACCCGGACATTCCCTTATACATTATTGGGAATCGTCGCACGATACTATTTTTTAAGTATTTTATAATAAAGAAATATTAAATGTATCAAACTCAATCTGTATTTTATACTTTTGATTTAAAAGATCAAACATTAAATAAAGCCACCAACAGCTTAGTAAAGGTATATCCGATGACGGAAATATTGATATTTATTAGAAATATCGGATTTATCTGAACCCAGATCATGTTACGCAAATGCCCAACCTAACATAACTTTAGGCATTGATTAATGACGTTAAGTGGTTCCTAGTCTTTGGTGAAATACATTTTCACCTTAAGCAATTCTTAAATATTTAGGCGACAGATCTAAGCGACTCCTAAGTTTAGTGAAAACGGGCATAAATGTATTTGTGTAACTCTGTGCAAAAATTGTAGATCTGTTTGGGCCTGCTTTCAAAGCTGTTATTTTAATATCATAGGTTAGAACAATTCTGAATAATTAAACAATGATTATAAATTATAGTCATAAAATATCTTAGGGGGCGTCCATAAATTACGTGAGGTGTTTTTTTTAATTTTCTGACCCTCCCTCCCCCCCTGGTGAGATGTCGTGAGATTTTATTCAACCGCCTCCCCCATTCCCCAATCTCACGTGAGATTTTTCAAAATGCAATTTGATGAGTACTTGCAAGTATTTGCCTTGTTGTAGTATCGAGTATAGCTTTTGAAAGTATCGATGCCTACTCTATATCGAAAGTATCGTTCGAACCCTACAAATATGGTGGTTTGACATTCAGTAGATGTATAGTGTTGAAGTATGAATAAAATTATTTGCTTTTGAACGAATTAGTGAATGATCTTAATCGTATACGATTACGCTTAAAATTAAATCTTAAGCATGTACAATCTGGATTAAATGAACCAAAATAGTATTTTTTTGTTTTTGTTTCAATCAGAAAAAAAAATTGCGTGATATTTGCCGAGACCCCCCCTCTCTCCAACGTAAGATTAGATGAGATTTGCCTCGACCCCCTCCTCCCCTTAAACATCTCACGTAATTTATGGACGCCCCCTTAGGTTACTATTAAATAACTATGCATAATATGACATACAGTATTCAGATCCCAAATTAAGCAACTAAAGCACTTGCATTATAAAATTACAAGTAAACAACGAATGACACAACACCCAGACCAGAGACAATATATAAAGTTAATTGAAGTTTAATGTTTAAGTTGATTAAAATAAATTTTCCATATTGACAAGAAGTGAATCGAACCCGGGACCTGAGATAGCGACATTATATTTTTAGTTTTATTATCCTCTTTTTTATAACACTTCTTTGCTTAGTTCATAAAACGATCGGAGTATTAAAATGTTGCCATTACATATATGTAACAATTATGAATTCATTATTTAAAATTAGGTACGTCTTAAGTCACTACCGTACTTAAGTCACTTAAACAGGTTCACACTTAAATAGCAGTTTGATAAAAACTAGGACTTTTTGTCTTGTGAAAAGTAAAAAACTTAAATTGTTAACAATAATCAGTCAACAATCAGAGATTTTGTACTTTTTTTTAAATTCAGAAACCGGCCGTTAAAATATAGACTAAATCAAGTTAATACAATAATTACATTCAAACTTACCACAAGTAAAGATGAGATAATAATTGTAAATAATATTCTAAGGCTTATAGTAATCATTCTATCATTAAAATTAAATCATTTATACTCATTCAAAATTAAACGAAAAAACTAGAAAAAGAGACCTTTCTTCATTCTTTGGTCATATTTCTATTATAAAATAGTACGAACCAAACTATAAAACAGTTTCTCATTCATAACAAAATAGGATCATAAAATTTATCAATACCTATTCAAAGAAACGTTTTTATTTTCCCTATAAAACTTGACTTTTATAACTTAAAAAAATCGTTTTTAATATTATTTGAAAATAGTTGTCTAGTGGGTATATTTCTCAACATAATAAAACGACAGAGATTATTACTTAACAATTTATTAATTATCATTTAACGTAGTACAAGTAACGAAAATGTCATAAATTCATAATTCTCAACGATTTGTCTCACAATAAATTAGAAGACAATGCAAGATTCTAAACAGGGGTGCCATAACTCTTCATAGGTGACGTCATCTTTGCCATATAATGGCGACAATTCGTTTCATTTGACTACGTTGACATATACTTTGATATCGACAAACGAATGTTAAAGAATGATGATTGTGCATCACGCTTTGTATTGTATAAAAATAATGTTTCCAATTTAACAATTTCTATTTGTAAATGTCATAATTGAGTCAGCCCTGCGCTTTAACGGCTAACAAAGTGTTGGCATACTGGAACTCTGGACTGTTCTCATACTCTGACATATCTAAGGCCACCTCACAACTCTCTCTGACTACTGGCCTTGGGTCCTGGAGATACCTGCGATAAAAAATATAATTGGCAACTTCAAAGTTATAACAATAAATTATGAAATAGGTTAGAAATGGTAACTATATGTAAACAATTTGTAGTAATTTATGTTATAAATTATTTCGAAACTAACTTGCGATTTATAATCTGTGGATCCGAAACGCGGACGGCCATGACGGAACATAGTGTGGCGTCATATTACAATAAATTTGTCCAGTTCTCGTGGAATCAAACTCATGTTTATTGAAATGTGACGTCACGGCTCGAAATGTCAATTGACTGAGTCTTTTCGCGGATTTTTTATTATAAATGATAAATATGTTTTTCCTTTATTTCATAACACTTTCACATTGCTGGGGCACAGGCCTTCCCTATGGATGGAATCAAGCCAAATCAGGAGAAGTGTATAATAGGCTAGTTGCCAACTCTTTTTTTATTTCCTAAATAAATAGTCCATTAACATTTGAGAAATAATGTAGAAGTAACAGCATGTCTGCGATTAATAGTTTCGGAGATACGTTGCTGTGTTTGTAGAACTGCTGCTAGTTAGCCGAAAACGCTCCCTACAAGTTCAAGGCACTCAGTGACGTCACACGGTGCTACAGTAGCGAAAAATGTATGGCCGTCTGGACATTTTTTGTAATATCTTTGTTATTTGTGCGTTTATGTTTATAGCTGTTATAATGAAAGTTGTAACATTTTTTATATCTAATTTAATGCCTTATGTATTTTAGCAAATTTATGTAGTAGATTTTCTCTACTTTTTTCAAGTTTTCAAAGCATAATATTTTCCAAATCATTGACTTAAAATTTGTTTTGTTAAACATTTATAAGTTAAAATGGTTCATATTTGTCGAAGATATAACAAAAACCCGTATTTTCACTTGTAGGACACAAGCCTATTACAATATTGTCATGTGACTTTTGAATTTCTGATAACTGTTTTCGAAATGCTAAATGGACTCCAAAGAAACTTATTTTTACATAATTTATGATGCAATAGAGGTAGGACTTGACACTAGCTTTCATGCACAGATAATCTTCATAGAAATATTTAAAAATATTATAAGAATCATTTGTAACATTATTAATTTTCGTTCAAGGGCCAAAAGAATAGGCTGTCATGTTAATTTGTATAGATAGTACACAGTTAAACTTATAGTTACCTTTTTAATACTTCTATGCATTCGTCTGTAGCTATTGAACCTAAAGCTTCAGCTGCTTCATGTCGCACCATTTCATGTTCTTTTGTATCTTCTAAAGCCATCTTTAAGAATGGCACACTTCTCACATCTTGCATTTGACCGAAAACAAATGCTACTTCATGACGAAACAAGGCACTGGTAGCTTTGAAACCTGAAAGTAAATTGTTTGAAATGCTTATAAAATTTAGATATGTAATAACTTAAAAATACGTGGTACTATGGACAAACCTTAGTGGTTTTTATAGTGTCATTTCAACAATAATATTGTATGTAATTGTTTGGATTGCTAAATAAATTTTAAAAAAAAATTATAGTATAGGTGGTGGTTTTTGAATCTGTACATGGAAATAAAACAAAAAAAGTAACTAACTTAGAAAAAATTAATGTCATAATTTTTTATCCTTTCTGCAGCTTTCAAAACACGAAACAAGATTCTATAATATTTTTACTAATATTATAATGAGAAAAATTTGATTGTTTGTTTGCATTGAATATGGTCCACAAGTACTAGACCAATTTTTAAAATTCTTTCAGCTACTAATAGCTACATCATATGGTGTTGACATAGGGAATAATTTACGTGTGTGAAGTAGCGTAAAAACTATATATAAATATAAAATATATAAAATCTGATTTTATTACAAAAACATACTGTTTTTCTATACAGTTACATTTACACAAACATACATTAATGTTTAATGATGCCTTTAAGCTCTAATGAATTTTAAATTTATATAGGTAATGTCACTTTAAACTAATGTAATTTTAATGAATGTTTGTGCAACTGGCTGTTACCCTTTCTTTTTTACTATGTAACATTTCCACAAATAGGCAGCCACATGTATTTCCTAGTCTATTATAAAAGCTCTTTGTCCCTAATACAAAAATTTCTTTGCTCAAATGGTTGGACAAAATGCGTACTCTTCTGTTGGCACAATAATCATATTTTAATAAATATTAATTTATTATAATAGCACAAAAATGTCAAGCCATACTTGTGATGTAGCAAACTCCCACGCCAAATTGAAGAAAAGAAACATATCCAATAGTTTTCTTACAATCTATCAGATGGACTTAATAGCATTTATTTATTCTTAATGAAAAATTCTTTAAAAATATATTTTGTCCCTGGCACTCTGAGATGGGACTCGAACCCATGACCTTTCACTAACCAGGTGACTGCTCTAACTACTGAGCTACTCAGACAAAGTTTTCAAGCACTTGTTACTTTTTCCCTACTATAGAATGTATTTTCATCAATGTTCTGGCAATCCACCCAATTAGTTGAAAGAATTATTTTTACAAACATTTAAACTTTCGATAAAAATAAAAATTTATTCTAATTATTATATTTGATCAATATTACATTCACAATGCTGCACTGGAAAATATTGTTAATGAAAAAAACAAAATGATAAATGATATGAAATGTGTGAGGACTTCCAACCCATGAGACGAACTCATTTTTCATTAAGACTATTTTTCATTGTCGTCTTCAGGATATAAGGAGGACAGGTATGGTAGATGTAATCCATAAAGTGAAGACCTTAAAATGGAAGTGGACAGGACATATGATGAGATCAACAAAACCAAAATGGGCAAAAGATATCACAGAATGGTACCCTCGTGACGGACAACGGAAAAGAGGTAGGCAGATAAAGAGATGGGAAGATGACCTACGGAAGGGATGGAGAAGAGCATCCAGAGATAGAGGGGAATCGGCTAAGCTGGAGGAGGCCTTTGACAAAGGACAACCTAGCGATACAGATGCCGATGTCGGTGGAAAAAAACTAAATTGTAACTATAATTGATGTACAAAGTCAGAGAATAAAGGCTATTTTTATTTATTTTTCATTATAAATGCAAAATTGATAAATATAATAATGAGATTTTTCATTTCACCCAGTCATTATCCCTATAACATTGACTTCATTTTAGTAGACACAATTTATTTACCTTCGCCTAAAGCATTAATACTTTCTGTCGTAGCCATATTTCTCAAACTGAACATAGCTCTGTATCTATCGTATAAAGGCTTAGATTCATCCATCAAAGTGTCTTTTAACAACTTTATATCATTTGTACTGCTTGGTGGTGCTGGATCAATAGATGAATATGGACTTTTCGATAGCTTCTCAGTAACGCCATCGTTAGCTACCCAGTTTAGCCGTTCAAGAGCTATCTGACATGTCTCAGCGACTTCTATGGCAGAATCATCTTTGTACCTCTCTAATAATTCACGAAGATCAGGATCGCCTATTGCTCCTAATGCTTCTCCTGAAAAATATATTAAGAAAAAATAAGGTCCATTGTTATAATTAAATCAAATACACATCAGTAACAACTCCATTGCAAAAACTAGACTGAATTTAGGTTTAATCTTGTCTAATTCTATTTTCAAATATGAAACTAATTAGAATAGCAAGAGTCAACTTATTATAATATAATTATACAGGATTTCAATAAATTTCTTTGATTACTTGTGACTCTAGAATAACATTTAACAAATGAAAATTAGAATTTGAAATTTATTAGTTATTTTAGAGAGTAATAACAGTAAATCTGCACCATTGTCAGTTTTGTTATATTTATGCGAAATACATAAAAAAATATGTTCAAAAACTTTACTGTGCTGTGATCAGCACATATAACTTTAAATCTTTCATTCTTCTTTAACATTACAAAAAATAATGTATGCAGTAAGTTGGAAGTGACATGACAACTTACCAATGTGAAAGAAAAACTGCCCGACATGATATGGTAAATTTTTGGTCTTAATTATTAGGTATCCCTTGAAGACACAGATAATAGACATGTCAATCAAATACAAATTCGATTTACTGTTACATTAAGACTGATAATATTGAGTAAAATCACAGGAATTATTATTTGTCACGCGTACTGTTAATAATGTTATCTTATATTACTTTACTTAATAAATTTACTGATAAGAATCTAACCTGCTTCATGGCGTACTATTGGATCCTGCTGTTTATCCTCGAGCACACTTCTTAATACAGGTATAGCATTTTTATCCTGCATTTGACCTAAACAATAAGCCAATTCATGTTTTAAAAGTACTGATTCATCATTGAAACACTTGCTAATACACTGAATTGCAGTTTCGCCGCCCAAGTTTCTTAAAGTAAACAAAGCTCTGAAACGCTCCTTCATTGGTCTCGTTGTATCGATCAAAACATTACCAATAGTTAAGATCTCTTGAGTGTTAATGTTTTCCATCATGTATAATAATTAATATAATGTAAAAAGTTAAAAACGTGATTTGAACGTGATCGACTCGCTCATTTATCCAGAAGCAGAGATGACAAAAATGACATTATCAGCAACGAGTAGTATTATATTAGAGGATTATCAGTGTCAATTTGACACAATGGCAGCTACGATATCACGTAAAAATTGGCGTTGCCATATACCACACTCTGATTTGCCGTATTTTAAGGGAAAGAATATTAAAATGCCGTATATAATTTGAAAATGTTTATTTCTCGTTTGTTTCTTCTCCATCAACGTTATACATTAATAATAATAACATTAATATCGCGCTACACTTTATGAAATGAAAATGATAAACAAGCACTTTTGATACGTCCAAATTTTACCCTTACCACTCGTTCAGGACGTTCTGGACGACTGACAAGAATAACAATCGAAAGAAAGTTACCAGCTCTTTATCATGAGAAATGACATTTACATAAATCATGTCATTGCTATTACATTATGTACTATACGTATTAAAACAATAATATTTATTTTTCAAAGTCTGTAGAACATAGGTTGGTACATATAATTAGTCGTTATAGAACAAAGCGAAGGCTATTAATTCCATGCATTGCGGTCCTTAAAATAATCATCAACTTTATAATAGACTATACTCATAAGTATGTATGCTTTATGGAACTTTATTGAACACGGCAATGCATTTGCCAAGAATTGGTCCTCTGGTTTTTTAAAGTATAGCTTGGAATGGAAAGTTCATTTTTATTTCTTGTATTAAGATTATGAACATTACTACTTTCGTGAAAGAATTGTAATATAATCTTAAACTTCGTACAGTTCCCTAACTTTTGAAAAAGTTATCTTGCTAATAGTGTTATTTACAATATTTGTCATGAACTTATTTTGCATCTTGGACTTCGTCCAAGAACGTCTAGAGCAAACTTCGCAAGAGTTTTGCAATCAGTTGTGCTAAATATCAGATGTCGTCATTATGTTGTCGTCAATATGTTGTATGTCAATTGAAAGTTTACACGATAATTTAACGTCGCATATAGGTGCACTTTGCTCTAAAGACCATCAACAGGGACAGTGATACTGTCTTTGAAAACGTCTACACTCTCCTACTGTTGTCGATATTTTTGTTTTATGTGTTTACCCTTTTTAGTGTCTTTTGACGAAGAAGGTCTCCAAAGTCAATATCACTAACTAAGGAATTATTTCTCGCAAAACCGTAACAAACGGATGAATTCGGGAATTATGTTTGAACTTTTCAACTCAAAGAATCATAGATAAACCCAATACCAATACGTTGTATCATTCATTTATAACTGTAGCGAAGTTTATATACCTAGAAATTATTATTTTTATAGTTTTCATATTGTTTATGTCACTGGTAGGTGGACAATGATTATGATATATTATCAGAGAGTGAGTAACAACGCAGGAAGAGAATTTTCCTTTGTCTTTTAATTATATAATTTGTTGAGTATTTAAGAAGCGTTTATTTTTCTACATCCAAACCATCCAAGTTGAAGTTGATATTGAATATTCTGGTGAATTGAACGCAGTATGCAACCTCCAAATAACGAAAGCGAAAGAAATAGTATTATACTGCTCACTGGTTAAAAACATATCGTTTTACTCACAGCCATTTGCCGTAGTTTTTAATCATTTCAGCAGGCACTTTCGGCACTGAAAGGCCTGCCTTATATGGTATTTTGTGCCAAAAAAACGTGTAATACCGTATGTTACGGCAATTATCGTATCAATAACAACACTGCCTAGGCATGTTACATGTATGATATGCCGAACAATCGATAAAAATTCGATAAGCCGGAAAAAGGTATTTATTGATATCGATATCATAAAGACAGCAATATTGATATTGAAAAAATATTAATCTAACGAAACCCAAGGACCGCTCAAAGCAAATAACCACAAAAATGGGGAAATATTATGTTATTCGCAACACTGAAGACGGTCAATAGTAAATATAATAAAACGCATTTTATTAATAATATTTACTGTACTCAAGACCCATTAACATGGTCCGATCAAATAACTCATCGTCAGATACTAGTCTTTACAAGGCCCTTCACGAAGCAAAAGACCAAAACAAGTTTAGGGATATAGTTATAGAGAAAGTGATTCAGCGAGGAAGCCACTACCCTCAGGAATGAGGAGTACGACACAAAGAGAGACTCAAGACCTAAAAAATCATTGTTCATAAACAATTTTAAAACCAAAATCAATGTCTGTAGTGCTTCAATTCACAAATATTTTAATAAACGTTTCCTTGGCCTTTCCCACGTAAATTGTAAAATAAACAATTATCTCTAATTAAAACTAGATATGGCTACTATGTATGTATGTATGTAGTATGTACTTTGAAAGATTTATAGTGTTCAATCCAAACGTGTGTGAGTTTAATTTTCTTTGAATACCAATAATAACACGCATATTATTTATAAATTTTATTTACTTAAGGTTTTTAAACACACTTTTTATTCACTTAAGACCTAAAAAAATTGTTCATAAACAATATCAAATGCTTGTCAGTCTAGACTGCATAAATTTGAGCTATAGTTTAAAATAAAAAAAATCATTACATCGATGTTTAGATTGGCTTAAGACGATATTTGTTCATATCGATATTTTATAAACTCGTCACTAATTGACACTGAAACTACGAAAACTTTCAGCAAAAAAACCCATGTTGTTGTCGAATCCAACTGGTTAGATCAGCCGAGCAATAAGCGAGCGTTAAAGTCTTAAACACATTGCGGTGTATGTACCGGCCCAGTTTAGCACCACTCCCTCTCTTGCCGTGGGTGTCGTACAAGCCGACTTAGGGAACAAAGGCGTTAGGAGACAACAGCAGCGTCTCTTAAGACTCACTGCGATCGCCAACCCTCCTACCAAGCGTGGCGATTACCGCAAACCCCCTATCAATAAAGTAAAATTTCAAAAATGAATCAGCCCCTAGTCCCCGGCAGTTCTACTATCCCTAGCTACGGTAACGGCTACGGAAACGGTAGGATAGGGAATGTGGAGAGTCCCCGGTTGTGATCCGTCTACAACGACTCCAAGGACTCGACACTTCTACAACTATTCGAGCTATTAGCAAGTTACGCTGGGATATTAAAGGGTTATCTGATGTACCAAAGAGAGAGGGAAGACTCGATAATATATGAATCCGGTAACTTGTTATACTACCGGTAGGGCGACTAACAGTCCCTAAGTGGTGTCGGGTTTACGGTCCATAAGTCCCTCGTTAACAACGTGGTTACCATCGAAAGTGTGTCGACCAGGGTAGTGTACCTGGTACTAGAATAGTTGAAAGTGAAGTTATTTAGAGTTGGGCAACAGAACACCAGAAGACGGATGCTGGCTGACTTAGAAGTCAAAGGGAGAATCTTTTTATGATTAACTCCTCCTTTAGGTAACCACAGAACCAAAAATAGACCTAGATAAGTCAACAAAAAAGCAAATATTCAATGATGTCTCTGTGATCAATGCCATTAAAACAAGAAATGATCATCGACTTGTACGAGGCACATTAAATATCAACATCAAGCTTGAAATGGAGGGAGGGGTATTAACGACTGCAAATGCAGCCGATTCCAAAACGGCTTAACGTTACTACACTTATTTGATCTGAATTGCTACACTGATAATATTTAAGAGTAACCATGGAGTAACATATTCTCCATTATCATTATTGCTATATTTATAAAAGTCATACTTTTTATACAATTCAAACAATTTTTTGCTAGTCTCCAATTTTTATGCGTAAGAAGAACGGAGCGATTATTTTGTATTCAATTTTCGTACGTTGAATGTCGACTGGCCGTCCTTTTATTCATTACCGACGGACAAGCACGTCGATCGACGCATATGTGAAAAAAAGTTGCGCCTGCGTCGTTTGCCGCCGCTGCTCGTCTCGTCTGCTTTAGCGCTTTTTGTTTTGGTACGTTTTATTTGAATTTTTTATCGGCAGAAATTAACATTCTTTTTATATTTAATATATAAAACAGGCCATATAATTTAGTGTAACCTACACAGGAGAGTGAGAAGACAAAGCGAAGATATGCTAAGAAATTATGATTTAGAAAATTCATTAAACTTTTATGTTAGACCGAATGCGGACAGTTTCATAAACCTAATTTTTATATGTATGTTTTGTCATCTATGTTAGAAGCTTAACTAAATTAATATAGTATTAAGTTTTCGAAATCAGAATTCTCCCCACATTTTGGATTCTTCTGCAAATTGTCCTATCTAGAAAATCATGAAATGTTGTTGTTTATAGAATAAGTTTCTTCGTCAGATTTTTTAGGACTATGTCCTTTTTACTTACACGGAAAAGTACCACTCATTATATAAGTGTATTGTTTAAATCCTTACGCAAAAACATTTTTAATTATTTTTCCATTACAACGTAGAGATAACATGTTTTATGATCATTAAAGGTACGACATAGTTTTACATTTTCCCTGTTCTATTTACATTTTTAATTGTTAATTTACAGTTCTTGCGTAGTTTGTAAGTGAAGCATGGATGCGATTTTGAATAAAATTCGCTGGGGTGGGGATCCTGACACTCCAGAGCCGCACACAGGACTCTCTAAACGTGACGTCTACAATATCAAACGCACCTGGGAGATAATATATGCACAAGGTGAAACATATGGCCTTGAGGTGTTTCTTCGGTAATTTTTTTTTTTATATTTATTATTGTTAAAGAGAATTTGGGTCTATGGTTTTAATTGGAGATTAAAGACGTTTGCGCAATATGCATAATGTAGGTACACCGGTTAAAAAGTTTAATTATGGCATTATAAACTCCTTAGGTAGCAATACCTACCAGATTATCACGGAAATTAACTTATGTTCAAAGTACAAAAGCATTTTTAAGGTACTGCGTTTTAAGGTTCATATAAAATTAGAGCAAACATAATCTGTTCGCCATACCATACCATCCCCGAAATACGAGCGCCCTAGACAGCTGCCTAGTTTGTCTATATGAATGGGCCGGTCCTGGAGGAACCTCTTTCGTTTCAAATGTATCTCAGGAAGAAGAGTAGTCCTAGAGAGCGTCGAGTCCTAGAAGCGAAGCTTTTTTTTAGTAATCCATTAGAAAAAAACCTAAGCCTTATACCAGGACTCCGCACCCGTCTTGAAAAGGACAGGCTTAAGCAAAACCGGCCTACCTGGTGAAACCCACTGCAAGTACCCTACGGCATTAAGTCCGCCTATATATTTAGTGCATGAAGTGTTAAATAAATAACAATAATACCCTCCGGGGGAGGAAGGCCAAGGCAAGCTACGCTCCTTCAAGACAAACTACACCCCCGTTCAGAAGGCCTGTTATGTCCCGACTACATCTGCAGTCTTTGACACCAACTAATCCGCACCGGCCCGAGTGGGATGTGACCTATTTTCCCTATTCGATTCCATTTATAATGGAGACCTTTACTTCAGCAGCAGGACTTTAATAACCTGACGATTATGATCAGGAACTGAATGTCTGTTTAACCCGTAAATCATTTCATTGATTAACAATCATTTTTTTTTATTCATTTAGCTTATTCCGAATGAACCCGGTTACGAAAACATACTTCAAAATGGTAAAGGACATGGATGAAACGGAAATAAAGAAGAGCAATAGGTTTAAAGCACACGTCATCACATTCATGTCGTCATTAAATATGGCGGTCGCCAATCTGCATCAACCTTCGGTGGTGGAGGCATTAATGAACAAGCTAGGAGAGTCGCATAGAAAAGCCCATGTGGATATTGTTCATTTCGAAGTAAGTAAAGGCAGGGATACTATTCTAAGAAGTTTTCTCTATGAAAACCAATGTCAAGGAATCGAAATATAATTCCATTCCAAAATAAAAGCTGTTAACGAAAAATTTTCAAATTCTCTAGTCCCATGTTCCCGTATTCAAATCCATAACATATCTCGGGCATCTGCATATTTTAAAACATGTTTAAATTTGATTTATTTGTAGTTTTAAGAATAGCGTTATATTTAACTGAAATCGACTTTTATATCGTTTGACTGTGGGACATTTATTGAAAACTGATTTTTGTTTTTCTTTCTCATTTTCGTAAACAATAACAACCTTTTAAATATGTACACAGAAAATATTTAAGGTATAATTTTTCTTATTAATCTTGTGATATTAAAAAAATATAACAAAGCTTATTTTCTCCATCAGGAGGCGAGGACAGTACTGATAGACATGCTCAAAAAGGACCTGGCTCAGTCAGACGACGTGATATCATCCTGGGGTCGTTTTATAGCATTTATATATAAACATATATTTGTCAAATTGACAAAACCTATTTTTTAATAACGCAGAAGTAGTATTTGTATATGTTCCCGGCAATCTGTATAATTCAGGTATTCTATACAACAGCTAAATTATACAGATTACCGGTAACTATACATTAAAAGACAAATGCGACCAAACCATTTATAAATGAATATTAATATTTGACCTTATTTTTATATGTATACTTTAATATTATTATTATTATTATTTTTCTGATTTATATTAAAATAATGTAAAAATGGAGTCTATAATTAATAAATTTTTGTAACTTGGTGTTGTATAAATCATTATTTTACTGTAATATATGAATCCTTCAAGAAAATCATAGAGAAGACTAAAGAGGAACGAAATATACTCAGACAATACAAATCACCGTAATAATAATTATGAAATAATTTTTGAAATCTATTTAGAAGTTCTGGAGCCTATTCGATGCAAACAATAAAATCATTCGTATTGATATAGATGTGCGGTTAAGACATTATTGATATGAGAATAAATTTTCTCGTCAACCCTTTCCTTTTTATAATATTCTAATCACCGATACTGCGTAATACACCCACGACATGTGTGCCTACGTTAACACATTAGGAATATTAATTAAATGGGATTATTAATTAAAGCCCAATTAATGTTGACAATTAGCACTCCCTCGTGACGAAGCGGGCGTACCGCAGCACTGTCGTTGTTTATCCAGCAAGCTAATTCTGCATTTTTTTATGTAATATGTGATCACATCTCGATATAATCTCAACTACTTGTATTTTGCCATTGTGCTAGCTACCTGAAGCCCTATATTATTAGTGCAATGTCTTCTCATACATCAACGGTGATGTGTGAGATATTCATCCCAACGTCACTGAACAGAATTATATCCCTGTGGTCACATCACTATGCCATACCTCAAAAATTCGCCTGATGATTCTCAGTATTTACAAGTTGATCGCTCATTCTATATTGTCTATTGGTATACTTTGACACCGACAGCCCTATGAGATAAAGGATCAGATCACGGCCACGTGGTAGCCTGGTCAAATTCCACAGTAGTGGATTAGTTTCCAAATAAACTGCAATCGCCATATTTATCACAAAATAATAATAAAAATCCGATATTACACTTCGACCAAGTCATGTCTTGTTCCACACAGCCTAGAATGTGTGGGTATGGCCATAAGCACCCGTCATCATTGTATGTTTGCGTCAATTGCAAGAGTCAGCAGTTGCAGCAGTGGATTTGTAGTGCAAATTCTTGAACACTTGTTGAATTTTGAAAAATATCGGAGAGGACACAAACATACCACCCAAACCCAAAGAGCCAAGAAGTAATCCATTCGAACCTTGCACCGGGGCATTGTAAGGTTCGATTGGATAACTTTTGCCTTGATATTAGAATTGAATAAATACCACCAAATGTTTAGGCACTCGAAACTCTTCCAATACTGTCCAAAGAGCTGACCATACCACGCAACTAAAAGCTTTAGTCAAAACAATTTGACATAGGGAGTTACGCGTTTAATTCGCAGAATTTCGTGAACGGCCAGATACCGTTTAAATTAATTATATTTATTTTCATAATTTCTATTTGCTTTGCCCCATCTTTCTCTGGCTACATATAGGTGTCTATAGTGCTTGCGTTGGTGGTGTAAAATGGCTTGACAAGCTGAGGGTGACTGACGCAAGATTGAACTCGCCAGCACACCGTCAATGTGATATCAGTGTCATCGAGCTCGATGACAAAATTCAAATTATGTGTATAATAATAATACGTTATCCATTTCAATCTGGCATCAGTCAACACCTTAAGCGACCAATCTAACTAGGTCTCTTCTTCTTCTACTTCGCAATGTCAGCATATCTGAAGTCCTCATTAATGTGTCAAAATGAAGTCGTGAACAGGCTGAGGCTGACTGGTCTATTTCAGCAGACCAAACTAGAGTACATCTTCACTTATAAGAGCAATACGAGCTTCAGTGATACGTTAGGGCCACTGATTAAGGAAATTTCAGAATCGCAGATAGACGCTAGTGTAGGAATGCATTGAATACATGTGGTGTTCGAGAGTTTTCTTTTGCTCATACATGCCAAAAATTGCTCATTTGGGGAGGTATTCGGAGAGACATGTTTGTACTTTATTCATAAGATAGGACCATTATCTTGCTGGCTCAATGAAACTTGGCGCCCCAGAAAAAATGCTGGAACTTGGTACCTTAGACAAAACACTGGAAATTTGCTCATAAAAAAATAACAACAAAATAAAAGACTAATGTAGGTAACCGATTATAGATTGGATTATAGAGCCAAATTTTACCAGTCACAAAAGAACTCCTTAGTTAATGCTTTTATTTATATATCAAAGATCGAAAACGCTCAGTGAGCGGAAAAATAGCTCACAACGCGTTGTGGTCACAGTAAAACATCCACATGGCGAAATTCGTGTTATGGCTCTAATGAAAACGCGCACGACGCATTGTGGCAATCACAGAAAGACCAAATAGCGAAATTCGTGTCGTGGCTGACATGCTATTCGATCTCAACGCGTTGTGGCAATGAAGAAAAGCCATCACGCGTATGGAATATTATTTGATTACGACGCACACTACTTTCCGATATGGATCCTACTAGGTCTAGGCTGAAAACGTTTTGGTAGATGTCCTTAGGAAATATTTTTTATTTTATAAAATCACTGCATAACGTGTTTGTTATTATGAAATATATTATATAAATTAAAATAAAACGATATTTGTTGTTTATTGAGATTACTTTATATTTAAAAAAATCAACGTATTAATATTAAGTAATAAATTACTGAACACAAAATGTTAATCATTTGTAAATTTCTTACAATTCACTTAAAATAATTAGGGATTTTAATTTTTTTATGACAATTTAAATTCTTTCAAGTAATAAAAATATTTAACACAAACATAAATGTTTATTGTCCACCAATAAACAACAATAATGTACTTAAAATAAGTTTTTGATTGCTATTTATTTTTACAGGAACTATTACTGTGGCATTTGGAGTTGCATTTTATATTCTTGGAGCGACACTTGCACTTTTTATCAATACAGTATCTTTTGCAGTGGCACATTATAAACCCTTGCTTACTTCCAGATGATAACATAGATGCTGAGCGGAGTGTTAACGACGAAGTTGAGGGCACATCACAAATATTAATAAAGTTGGTTTCAGAAAGTGTAAACTCATTACGTGCATAAAGTCTATCAAATGTACCTTCTTTGTTTCCTAACTGGTAGAGACCTGATGGATTAATGCTCGTAACAACACACATAACATTCCTGGGTGCTGCTCGTCCTCTATCAACTTCAGGAACTCTAACTAAAACGTTAGAACCAATTTCAACACAGGGAAATTTTGAATTAGACAGTGAAACCATTTTGTTTGCCTGTTCCTGTAGACCTGATTTAGCACATTCTCTTTCAACATTTATTCTGTACTTTCTGAAACAGAGCTTACAAGTTACATTTGCTCCAAATCCTTCATTCTCATTGCTTTCTCCACAGATAACGTGTACATTCATGACAGTCTAAGCACTTGTGAGCTCCTGACGTCTCATTTTTACAAACAGCACATAACTTCAAACTTTCAGCTTTTCCTAAATCAATATTTGCATTGGCTGATTCCTGTATTTTTTCATCATTGCCCGTGTTTCTTGATTCTTCTATAACGTCAGTAATAACTTTCACGTTTAAATTCTGTAATTTGTTTAACTGTTCATCATTTTCTATATTTTTCTCGTTGTTTTGAACATCATTTTTAATGGAAGATAGAACCAAATCTTGTAACTCTTCTTCAGTTTCTATGGAAGCATACACATCACCAGGAATAGATGAATCAGCAAGACCTATTTTTTGTGCTGATCCAAACATAGCTTCGTAAGGACTTCTCTTAAGCGCATGATGAAGAGCACGATTTTTTTTACTCTGAATAAATCGCAATCCTTCTGACCAATTTTGTGAATTATTATCAGCCATCCAAGTTATTAACATGTCACGAACGTCTTGATTCGACCTCTCTACCGAACCTTGACTTTGAGAATGTCGAGGTTTTCCATGAACAAGTTTCATCCCTGGCCACATTTCAGCTAAATTTTTTATGACCTTATTTGAAAATTCACGACCGTTGTCGCTTTGCAGTATACATGGAGCGCCGAACAAACAAAATATATCTAAAAGTTGATATGCTACTTCTTCAGCAGTCTTCGTTTTGATTGGTCTTAGAATAGTAAATTTAGTCAAGTGATCTTGATAATTCACAATAAATTTATAATCTTTATCTGGTTCAGACTGCATATCGATCAAATCAACTTGACATCTAGAATTCATGCAGTCGGATAAAATAGGTTTCACTACTAAACCGCGTTTTGGTATCTTTTTTTTTAATTGGCATTGTTCACATAAACTTAAATATAAGTTTATAATAGTTCGTGTAACATTACAGTATTGTTTTTTCAATTCAGCTTCCATAACTGTAACAAAAATAATCTACTTTAGGATTTTTCTCTGTGTATAGGTATCCTTAAAATCATACATACATACATATATCACGCCTTTTTCCCAAAGGTTAAAATCATAGTTCTGATCTATCTGAAAATAACCTACCTCTAGTCCGTTTGTGACCGACGTTAGTATGTGCTTTTTCCAAAATATCAAACAGTTCATCTGTTTTGCAGAAATATCGAATTTTTGAACTTGAGCTTTCTATTCCAGCTTCAACCAACTTTTCAGTATCACCAATCTTTAAGACATCATATCGTTTAAGACGTCGATACTGCTTCGAACATAGAGACTCGTTGTTCTTTTTAAGAAGCTGAGACTGTTTTGTTTCATTAAGTAACATTTCATATTTTTCTGTAGTCATGATAAAACTGCGATCAGTGCTTGTTTCCACAAACTCACGCAATTTATCGTAAAACACTTCTTTTTTATTCGTCATAATTAGCGCTGACATTAAAATTCACTCTGAGAAACAGAAAAGAAATGAATAAAACTGATGTTATTATGCGTCTTTACAGCGCCGACATCGACAAGTTACAACCTGTCCGTCGTGATATGGTTAAAACAATGAATGCTCAGAACGCATCATGGCTTTTCTTCATTGCCACAACGCGTTGAGATCGAATAGCATGTCAGCCACGACACGAATTTCGCTATTTGGTCTTTCTGTGATTGCCACAACGCGTCGTGCGCGTTTTCATTAGAGCCATAACACGAATTTCGCCATGTGGATGTTTTACTGTGACCACAACGCGTTGTGAGCTATTTTTCCGCTCACTGAGCGTT